TACGCAGCAAGTGCATGCTAAACGACCGGGCGGTGCTGCGGTGAGTGGAAATCTGCCCAAATTGACGATACTCAAACAAAAGATACAGCAGCCACTTGCCTAGGTGGTAAACAAGTTGTTTCTGCGTCCCACTGGCAGTTAGATTCAAAGTCAACAAAAACGTCAAAACAACTAATTGTGCATACGTCGGATAAAGCTGGATGTTTGGAATGTCCACAAGTTACCAAGCACCAACTGAATTTACACCGGATTCCATTCGCAAGATACGAATCATCAACTAGGGTATAAATCCTACCAGGGGCACTTGTCAAATGGTAACTTTCGCCGAGAGATATCTTGTAATCGAAACAAGTTATGTGAAATTATTTCAACATAGATGTTAACTTAAGCAAGGGGGCGCTAAGTAGGTAGCTAATGATGACACGTTTTAGGCACCTCTGGCAAATAGGTATTTGTTCCGGACGTTACACACAATTATCTGATCCTGTTTTCTCAATGGAAGTGATAATGTCTTGTCCTCTCGGAACCATCTAAAGCCCGCATGTGCAAGCACTGTGTCAATTCGAGGCGTTTATAGCTTGCGGCCAATGCAAAAGCCCATAATTCAGGACTGATGTGTTTGCCGTCCATAAACGCACAGATGGTATACGTTTAACACAGGAGATTCCGCCTCGATAATTTCTGCCAATTTTTCTGAACTTATGGCCAGATTACGCCCAGACTTGTTACAAGTTACTCATTTTCAAAGAGACGCTGCGTTTGTAAATTAGTTTTAAATGGTGGTGAATAATCCGTGCCTTACGCATTTGTTCAATCGCAGTTCGGGAAGACAATATTCTGATGAGTGCTGTCATATCATCCTGCATCATATTGATCAGAGCTGAACAATATCCGTTTCCTGCAATGCGTGCATAATAAAACTTGCAATAGAAGAATCCATCGCGTGTCACCTGCGTAAATAATTGGATGACGTCGACCGCAAACTCTTCAAGCATGAAAATAAATGCAATGGGAGGCACTGGAATATGGCCGGGTGATGACGGTAAATAGGTCATAAACGACTGATTCTGTCACAATCGCATCCATAATTCATATGGCTCAACTGTGAAAAACTTGGCGCTTCCGTGGGATTCGAACCCACACAGTAAAGGAAGGAATGTAGCACAGCCAACGATCTAATCAAGTAAGCTACGAGGACCCGGCGAACGACGCGAGTTTAATCACATTTGCGTCACGTTACCCCCCCCCCCAACGTCTAGAATCCACCATATCTGATACAGTAAGTTGACTGCCCAAGCAGGATTTCCTAAGTAATTCACTTAGAATCCACCAGACGACTACCAGGCTCACGTAATTCATAGATATTTTGGGCAGATTTTAATAATTCATATTGACCCAACTGTGAAAGTCTCGGCAACACGGTGGGGTTCGCGCACACGTAGTAAGATAAAGGCCGTCTCCTATAATGTGTGGGTTCAAATCCCACCGAGGCGACGAATTTTCCACATTTGGGTTAATATATTTTTTCAAAGTCTGACAAAACATCTATGAACAAGCGCATTCGTCATAGATTATTTTGCGAGTTATCTTCGGCTTAATGATATAGCGAGACTTTATTCCAGAAACGTCTGATGGCAAATGCTGTGACGACCAGGATTAATTAAGTTGCACGAACGGGCCTGAATGACGTAGGCCATATGTTACATTTTCATTCCAGTAATTTGCAGTGAGAATGCGATTTAATGATGGAATGTACGCCTCCTTGACTATACACAAAACACGAGCGTGATAGTTTAAGAATCTCCGAGCACCAGACTTCACTATCTAGCCGACATCCCCCCGTGTTCATAAA